TCTCTGTAGAAATAGATCTAAACCTATTACTACACATATGGAATAACTTCTACATCAGAATCTGCACCTCTCTGTAGCAATACCCGACTACACAAACGTATAGTAACTTCTACATCTGCACCTCTCTGTAGCAATACTCGACTACACAAACGTATAGTATTGATAGTAACTTCTACATCTGCACCTCTCTATAGTAATAAACCTATTACACAAATGTGGAGAAGATCGAACTTCCACATCAGAATCTGCACATCTCTGAAACAATACCTGACTGCACACATTGAGTAACTTCTACATCTGCACCTGTCTGTAGAAATAGATCTAAACCTACTACACAAATGTGGAGTAGCTTCTACTTCTACATCAGAATCTGCACCTCTCTGTAGCAATACCCGACTACACAAACGTATAATAACTTCTACATCTGCACCTCTCTGTAGCTATAAATCCACTACACATGTGGAGTAACTTGTGCATCAGAATCTACACCTCTCCGTAGAAAGTAGAAATAAACTTACAACAAAAATGTGGAGTAACGTCTACAACTGCACATCTCTGTAAAAATAACAGCGTAGTAACTTTTTATAACCTGATTAATCAGCTTTGCGATTAACTCATTGAAGACACACATTCTGGCCATTCGGGAACGCTTGAGGACGCAGTTTTTTGGGTGCTTTCAAAAAGAAGTATACAATGTAAAATAGCTTTGCTCTTCGTACAGGTTTTTAAATTGTTTTCTTTACCTATATTCTTAAAATAAGACACACAACGACATTCATATTCATACTATGTAAACATACAAATTTGTGTGCGGTATGATCGTTCGAGTGGGAAACAAAATGGCATTTGGTCTGCTGTCAGACATAATGTGCGTCACCTACGTCCCAAAAGAGTTAAATCTTGCCTACCTTCCTCAAAACATCTACTGTAATGTAATGTTTACCTACAAAACCTCCTATGCGAAAGAACTGAGTGCAATTCTTGATTCTGTCTTTCTGCTAGGAAAGTGTGCTATGCATCCCGAGTAAGCCCCAACAGGCAAAAATGAGGCTGGAATTAATAACATTAATTATTGCATTCATATAGTGCTCTATCCCATAAAAGTATAAGCTCTGAGCAGATAAAATCTAAAATATCATGCAACCCCAGTTCTGAACCTTTTTAACTATTTCTAATTTCTTTTTATATCCATCTATAGATCTATGAATAAAAGTAATTTCACACACACAAGCAAAGACAACATAGATCTCATCCCTATATGACACACACTCCAAGCTATTTTTCCACAAGCAATAACAATGCCCTAAATAAAATACTTCTTTGGTAGAAAAAGAGCACAAAATATGCCACACCATGAAACAACATATAGTTTTATTCTTTTGTTCTCAATCAGTCAAGCCACACCTAGAGAATGATAACAAACCAGAAAAAGAACGGTATAATCATGAACATTAATGAAAGACGAATCACTTAGAAAAGAATACTCTACTAAAGTTCTACTGTTTTCCTGCTTTACTTACAAAAAGGTGCCCACAATGTCAGGGCATATATTGATAACCAGAAAACTTTAATTTACCACCCACCCCCCTTTTGAAATCTTTGCATACTCTTTTAGTATAAATTTATAAATAAAAATTATTTATAACAATGAATACATGTTTTTAATCTGCACAATAATAAGCTTGTTAGAAATCAGTTCCACAAATATGCCCAATTACAACCAATACTTTCTCTAACAAAGGTTCTCTAGGAAAGACATACACAATTATACAGTACAGGTGAAGGGATAACAAAAATTTATACCGAATCAAATCTCTACCAGTCTTTTCAGCAATGACCGGTGGGGTAATTATTATATAAAAACATAATGTGATTCCCATGTGGAGAAGTCATAATATCAAGAGTCAGAGTCTTCTTTAATTGGGACTTTTTAAGTTTCCCACACGACCAGACAGGCAGGCTAGAAGCAAACCATCTCCTCAATGATCTAAATTGTGTTGACAGGGCTCCAAAACAAATTACAATCAACAAATCACACATCTGGGGCAAAGACAAAGGTAGAATTTGAAAACTTTAAGTTAATCAAGTAAATAATGATTACTGCTGCTCCTACTCCATTTTTACAAGTATTAATGTCCTCACATGCTTCCAGACCAAATGCAGCTATTAACTCTTTCAGTAGGAAAGGAATTCCACAATTTTACGCACCCAATTTGAGGCAGTGGAGGGGCTTACCTTAAAACTAATAAAATGGCCATAAATTCTGTCAAACTTCGAAGGATTTGTTTGTATGAGCACTCAGACTATACGTAATTGGACAAAGAATCACAATATGGATGAAAATAGCTAATAAATGTAGCGCAGGACCAGGTGTAGATCTTAGGGTTGACCAAATTGGTAACCCCGCTTCAGTGACGATTTGGAATCAAAAAGCTAATGAGGCCACTTACCACAAACAACAACACAAGTTACGACAAGCTGTTTTCAACTATTTAGTGGTCTTCCATGGTCCAATAAAATTCAACAAGGGAATGTGAAGATTCATTTATTTCACAATTTGCATTCAAATGGCTACAGTCAGATAGCATAAGTAACATGACCATCTATAGGCTCCAAGAGACACACAAGATTCAGAACAAATACTCAAGAATCTAAGATCAGAAATGTCCTTTCCTTCAAGTTCTGTAACTGCCTTCAAGGGAGTCACAAAGCTATATTCTCCAAACAATTAATATGGGGCAAAATTTCCCTTAAATTTCAGCACCTTTCCAGCTTTTAATGATTTTTACCTAAGCCTGATATGATGGAAAAGGACTTTTGAGTTTGAGTAAAGAGAAGCATATCAACACAATATGGGTCATAGAGGGCAGTGAAGACGGAAAGACAGATAGACAGAAACAACAGAGGGAAAGAAAAGAAGTAGGACCTATAAGCAATGTTTCTTTTTCTTGGGGGGGGTTTTCGTAGAGGTTTTACGGTGCTCGCAACCAGCACTGTTCTCCAGCCACTTGCATGGATGAGGTAGCAGCTGAGGCATAGACAATTTTAAAAAATAAAGATCACTTCTATAGCGCCCACTCCTTGGTGGCTCCAGGCGCTTCACAATAAATAAATAAGATTTAAATCAATTCTTCATAATTACTGGCTCATTCAACATACAATTCTTTCCAATACATATTATAAACTCACAATCGGAGAAAGAACACATACACAAAAAGAAAATCACTGTGGCTACTGATCACACTTGCTGTAGGAAAAAGAATTAAACTAGTTACAATGTCTTGAATAACAATGATCATGGGTAAGTGTGTTTTTTGAGTAACGGAGTGAAAAGGCCACAAAAGACATACCTGGTCAAAAGTTTAGTTCCATCAGAAAACTTAACCATTTCTTAATAACATATATTGAAGGGATTTCACAATATGTGTCACGATGCGGTGGAATCAAGCGCTCGTCAATTTTTGTGCATGTGGAGTTATTGGTATCATCTGAAAGCTGATTTATTTGCCTCGCTTTCAATGAAATAAATATCCACCTATCTTGAATAGAAGTAGAAGTCAAGATATTTGCGATTGAAGGAAGTGAGGTTGCCTGGTCTCAGTGGTGAAATTAGCGAGAAAACGGCCGCCAAAGTTTGGTAACTTTCAATAGCTATACAGTCCTTAAAAACAGAAAAATGACATACTTTGTGCCTTTAATCAATGTTTTTCAGTAAAATTCCCATGGCCATGTGTTTTTATATGAAAATAAAAGAGGTTGAGCACAAAAATAAAAAATTAAATAAAAATTTCCAAATTTTCGGGAAAACCACTGTTTCTACAATTTCTGTATTTTGACGAGCACCTGATTTCACAATGCTGCCTCACATATTTTAAGTCTAAAATTATTTTTTAAATAGTTTTTTTCTGCGACCTGCTGTACATAAGTTTAAAAATGTGCTAGAAATGGAGTTTTTCTCCAAACATACACCCTGTGTTACAAAATGTGGTATATCTTTAAAACTGCCTAGGATATTTGAAAAATTTCAAAACCAGCGTGTTCAGCACTGAATTTGCTCCAAGAATATGCCCTTATATTTCAATTTCCCAAATTTCCAACAACTGGGACCTTTCTCCAGGCACATACACATGGTATATAAAACATTCAGAAATTCACTATATACATCATTGTTGAAAGAATGATAATGAATGAGTTAGTTGGATCCAAACATGCAATCTCGTATCAAAATCTCGGATAGAATTATATTGCACATAACTGTTGTTCTATGCTTTGAGACATTTAAAAGAAAGACATGAGTACATGGAATGAGATTTTGACAACGTAGAAATAATATATTATTTCAAAGCACTGACTAATTCAGTACAGGTATGGTATATCATAGGTGTCTACTGTATTTTCATTTGTACCTCAGGTAAAACAAAGTCTTCACCAGATGTAGAGCATTACTACATAAGGGGGTTTTCTTGTTTCGCTAGCACAAAGAGTGACTTTTTGAGTGGGGTTCAAAAGTTGACACAGATTTCGATTGTAAACTCTCCATTTTCAAGTCCGCTCTGCTCAGCAATGAACAAAGTTCTTTAGTTTCTTTCAAGAAGCCACTGGCACTGTTTACGATACGTGTCGAGTCGTGAGCTTTATGGACTACATCTAAATGTCTGTTAAGTGCGAAAGGTTAATGTCTCAAAACTAGCCAGCTGACACTATACACCATCTATATGGTCAGGGGAAAAAAATGTTTTTATACACAATTGCATAGATCCTGTAGCTTGATTTCAGACAAGGAATGCTGCTGACTTCACAACAAAGATAACTATAAACAAGTTGAAACATTTTGTCAAGTTCCAATCGGGACATTTGCAATAGGAACACAACCTGGGACAGGATACTGGTCAATCAAAAGCTAAGATTTTAAGTCTCACAACCCCCCCCCCCCCCCCCCCCCCCAACCCCACCCAATAATTAAAAACATCTTTCCATATCTCACTTAATTCAATCTAGGAGTTAAACATATGTCTTCAGTATTACATACAGCAGCTCAATACTTTTAATTTCAAGATAAAACACAATTCTCGCTTCAAATCAGTGAAAAGTATAAAGCTATGACTATACAAAAACAACAGGTGAACAAGTAACAACCACAAAAACAAACCAAATTATAACCCCTAAAAATAATTTGCACTAAATCCAGTGTCTCTTAGTGTCATATTCTAAATATCAGTGACAGAAGAAAGACAGAAACTTATTAAGTAAGCTGACTTACAAAATTAACACAAGAGGTAAGGGGAGAAGACAAACAAAAGAAGGAAAAAATACATAGGAACTCAACGAAACATCGCAATATAAAATCACACACACTCACTTGCATGCACAGAAAGGCATACATATAATAAACCAATCACAGGGACCAGCAAAAGAGTATAATATATATATATATGTTACAACTCCAGTGTGACAGAAAAATCTCCCTTTAAATGTACAATATCAGTCATTGTGTGCATGTAAAATAGGGGTTGGCACTAGTCGATACTGGCCAATATCCAGTACTTTTTCAATTAAGAGAGCCCAATATCGATAAGTACTCAGAACCTATTACATTCATGAATTCTTAGAATCCCCCCAACTTCCAAGATGGAAACCGATAGCATGTCTTAGCATATTTATCAAGGACAATAGTTTTTCGGTCAGCAGCATTTTCAATGCTTTTTCATTTTAAAAAGTATCCCAAATACCAAAACTTGAGTATCGATTAGTATCGACTGGGTGACGAAAACACCTAGGTACTTACTTAGGGGGTCGTTCTTAACGAGTACTGTATTGAGTACTGGTATCGATTAGCGCCCACCACTAATGTAAAATGGAATCAGTTTCAAATTACGTCTCTTCTGCCAGTTCATTCTCCATCCTCATGTTGAAGAGACACAGAGCCCCTTGTCCGACGACAACAACACCGAAGACTCCTTAACTCTTTGATGAACAGCGGGAACAAGCAGCACATGGTCAAGAACATCTGGAAACATCGTACAAAGACCAGATAATTTACAGCAAATAAAGTTATAAATTATAATAAAGCAAACTTAAACATCTAACAGTGGCATTATCAACCACTGTGCCACTGTATATAATTGAAACAGGGTTCTAAACAGCGAATTCCGAAAATGCAGTTGTTTTTTACGGGGGTTCTGAATTCTGAGTGAAATCACACAACACATCCTGTAAATGACTTTCAGACGGATTAACCTATCAATAGCCACTACAACATTGCTGCAGCGACAATATATTACTTTATTACTGCAACCTCTACCACTACTACAAAAGCAACTGCTTGCGAGAAGACAAGGAGAATCAGTTGTGAACCATGTTTTAATTTGGAATAACAATTGCCCCATCAGAGCAGCTTTCAAAGGAATGAAGCTGTAAGCTATAAAAGGATTCTCTGACTTGGAATTCTGCAAAGTGGATATCTGGGACTGATATTCACTGACTTCCCTTATAATCTCAGATGTCATTTCTTTTTTTTCTTTCTCCAAACTGAAAATGCCACTTGCCTCAGAACTGACATCTTCTTTTTTTTTTTTTTGAGAAATGGAAAAAAAACTACACGCTGAAATGTTCACATGTAACTGACAACTGAAAATACCATAATGCCGCATATACTGTCAAAGTGATACATTAGGGGGTTAAAGTCATTTATCACTTTGATCCAAGGGAGAAGACTTTGTAAGTCTGTGTCACAACATTCTGAGTTCTTTATTTTTACAACTTGAACATTTGTTGGCCCATTTACCCTGTTCTTAGAGACACATGATAACACAATGTGTTATATTGTCGCCGCAGGCTTATAAATGGTTAACTCTGATTCTGTAGATTTTAAAGGAGAATTAAAAAGCAAGGCATGGTGGGTCAGTACAATGTTGACCAAAGTCTGAAAAGGTCATAACCGTAGTACAGTGACATTGCACAGACACAGTAATTATCACGCCACCTTTGAGTGTCAATGAGCTGAGCAAAATCATCATCACGGGCAAAACCAGACATTTTTACCTCAACTTTCTCACTCACAGACCTATAACCTGCAATCTGATTCAGCAGTGGTGGAGAGGGAAGACATGCTATTTGATGTCAGATTCATTCAATTTTTTTAAATCCAAAAAGGCAATCTGTCTGGGGGGGGGCAAAAAAAAAAAAATGCAAATGGAGCGATTTGACTTTGACTTACACAAATCATGAAGAGGTAGAAGACAGAGTGCCAACCAAGGCCAGTCTGCAGGTAAGGGACAGCAATCTGAAAAAGTCCACAAGTCATCTAGTTTAGTTTTACTAAGAGTTTTAGAGTACTTGCAACACAATTATTTAACCCATATAATATAAGTGCGGAAGGGTAGAGCTGTTACTAGAAAATGACCTACAAATAAAAGAAGGACACAAACCACACTCCAGAGCACCTGCCAACATCTGGCCTACAAGTCTTTTATGACAATCCTAGTATCACTACAGAATGAATGTCACTGCCGTTATACACTCTTTTTGAGAAATAAAACCAGGCTAAAAAACAGATACAATAAAGTACTAAAATCTCAAATGACAGTCACTATAGTAAGCTGAAAGTCATGCTATCACTATATTTTCAGACAATAAAAGACCGGAAGAAAGAAGACAAGATAAAGGCCCAATACCTAATAGAAAAAGCTGGCATCACAACAGCAAGCTGTGTGTTATTCTGTCATACATTAGATTTGGGCCAGGAAGATTTATATGTGTTGTGTATATATAGGTGATGAAATCACAAACTAGTCAAAATAGTCATGAAATAGGAGAAATCAACATTTTCCCACCCCTTGGGCAATTTCTATTTACAGTTTTTGTGGGAGGGGGCCCTAACACCTGTTATGTAGATTTAAAAACACATTTCTGGGAGGCTTTTAATAATTAAAAAAGCCTTGATTAAAGGAACAAAAAATGTAAATGTGCAGTTTCCAAAGACACTCAAGCTTCGATAAACTCTCGGACATTTTCTTGCTAATTTTAGCTCAACACCAGGTGAGCCCCACCTCCTTAAATCGCAAATGCCTTGACTTTTATTCAAGATGGATGGGTACATTTTTCTTTAAATCAAAAGCAAGACAAATGACCATGCTTTAAGATTATACCAATAACTCTACATGTCCAAAAATTTACAAGCACCTGATCCTACAGTGTAGTGACACCTATATAAATATATTTAAAAAATTAAAATAAAATAATAATATTAGATAGCATTTGTATAGCACAAATTCCCGCTCAACAGCAAGCTCTATGCACTATACAATCTATATTATTACCCCAGCAGATCTGATTAAATTCTGAAACAATCTCAACTTCCTGGGAAGGATACAACAGTGCAAGCTGCCATTTGTAAAAGTGCTTAAACACTAATATACTGACAAGACCTTTCGCTGTCTATGGCTGGGTATCCATTCACACCAGGGTGAATAGAAAACAATAAACTCAGCCTACATATCCCACCTGTCCTAAAGCTGCTCCAAAGCTCCCTGTGCCATCAATGACGCCCGTCACTGTTGCCAGGGCTTTGTCATCTCCCCTGAGAGCCTTCTGGCAACCCAGATCAGCCGACACGGCAGCGCTGATGAGGTTTGCAGCTCCGCCAATGAAAAAGCCTACGAGGGACATGAGGACTATATTGATAGTAACGTTGTTCGGGGAATCTGAAGAAAAAAGGATAAGAAATTCCTATCAGTAAGTCAGGGTATGTATTTCTCTAAAGTTGCATGTCATACTCACCTTCTGACTAAACGCCTGCTGATTATACTTACATTTATGCAAACAGATCTGATTGATACTTTCAAAAAATCAAAAGGAAAAACAAAAATAATCACAAAACAACGAATGATGATACTTACTTCCATACATGAATAACGATGGTATAGATAAGATGAGCATTGGAACAATAAGCACAGTCCTCTTGCCCAGTCGATCCTGCAAAACACAGAATAACAACTTTATAATCTCCCACTGTGTTAATCTACAATGTTTACAAAATATAAAAATCTCAAGTGCTCTCACATTTCACTGAATTTTCTACGAGAGTTGAAGTAATTTTCATTAGCCCTTCTCATCGCATGCATGTAGTATAAGAATAGAAATAATTCTCTGACTGTAAGAAGCTCCTGAGTACCAATTTATGATTAGATTTGTCATCAAATTTGTCTTGCATTCTCCCCCATTCCCACGTTTTAAACATAATGATGTTCAGTGTTCAATACTTCTCTTCTCATTTATTTATATACCTTTCAAACATTCAAACACATTCACAACCAAAGCTGCACATGAGAAGCCTGGAGTGAAGCCAAACTGCAAATGTCTTAGTAACAAGAGGTCCTCTCCTTTGAAAGCAAAGAAATGATAACGAATAACCTGTGCTAAAATACTGGTGGCCAAACCAATTTCAATTATCCCCTAGACAAATAATTAATTCTGCAGTTGTCAAATGTTGTTTGGTCATGACGTAAAAATTTCTACGTTTTTGTCCATTATAATGTTGAATCTATAAAAAGGAAACAGATACAACCTGACAACTTTACTTACAGAGATAAAGCCAATTAAAGTTCCTCCTGGAAAAGAAAAAAAAATTGAAATTAGAGCTCCTAGCATAAAAGGGAAAACTAAGGAACTAAAGGAAAAAAAAGGAAAACACATACAAAAAGAATGTGAATACTATGAGCATCTAAATAATTTGAGGTTCATGGAAACAAATCTCCATGTCAGATCTAATACAGTCATACTCAGAAAGCCATGCAATATCAATAATACATCAAAGAATACCTCACCTCACCTAGGTGGGAATGGGCACCCAGGTATAGGCAGTGAAATACCTTGTTAGTCTGTTAGTGTTTGAAAGTTTAATCAGCTGCTTGTACTGTATGCTTCCCAGGAAGCCAAGAAGTTATTTTAGTATTCTAGGGTCAGCTGAGGTAATAAATGTAGATTGTAAAGAGCATACAGCATGCTGTCCAGCGGGGTTTTGTGCTTAACGAAATCTATTTATTATTATTTAAGACAAATCCAAACTTCAAATATTTAAAGATATTTCAGCTTTCCTCTTTCCAGCGTACAATCAAAACTTTTGTACAGCGTCTTCTTGAATTTGTCAGCACATTCTCTTAGGCTCGTTCCATTTAATGAACTGATCGTAGTGACATCACAAGACATCAAAACTGTCCACTCACCTACAATGCCAGCCACATCATAAGCCGTAGAGAGCTGGTCTGCCTCACTCTCCTTCCACTTGAAGGCATTGTTCAGATAGAATGGCAACCAGAAGAAGAAAGAGTAGTTGACCAGCTTCAGAAAAGCATAGGCCAGAGCATACTGAAAAACAAATTAAAAAAACAAAAACAAATGTCAAAGTAAGCAAGGTACCCTTTCAACATTGTAAAATAATTACAAAAGCAGGATTTTACATCGATGATAAGGTTCTGAAATACAATTATATAATAACAAGAACAGAAAGCATTTGTACAGCGCAAATTCCCCCTCAACAGCAAGCTCTATGTGCTTTACACAATCTATAAGACAAGCTAAACCTACATCAATAACATTTGAAACATTTGGTGGATGGCTAAAGGATACCACCAGAAGGACCTACTTTTACACTCTTTCAGTCACTTCTGCCTATCAGTCTTGTTCTTTCCCAGTAATAAATGATCGATACTGTGTCTACGTACTACTATTTTCTCAAAATAAGCTAAACTAAGCCATTCAGGAGGAAGCCTGTCAGGGTCAACCTGGGCTGAGAAGAACACAACATTCCAGCAGAAAAACCGAGATACTGAATAAAAATTCGCTCCACGCGGGAATCGAATTCGAGTCTCTTGCATGCGACAGCAAAGCACCTTACTGCTATACAACAGACACTGATATCTTTTGCTGTTCACAAGCAGAGAGGCAAACAGAACATTAGTCGGAACAAAGAGAGAAAAATGAACAACAACAACAACAACAGCAACAAGACTGACAATACTCACAGGTATGACTCCAGGAAGCAGACAAGCCTTCAAGAAAGATAAGGATGCAGGTCGAGTGGTTTCAATGTTGTAGGTGACATCATCCGGGTCTACTGTAGCCCCTTCAGAGGTCGCTCCTTCGTCATGTGTGTCCGAAAGTAACGGTTCTACAGAAGCAGTGGGGTGGGAGCAGAAGGGGGTAAGGATTTGTGGATTTAAAAAAAAAAGAGTAAATATATAACACATAGCACAGGAAGCCTGCACCTCCCCTCGACATCCTAATGATACCAGAGGAAGGAAAAAGTAAAAGTTAAGTGATATAATATATTTCATAGAAAAGTGTTTTGAACTAGGTCCCTTTTGAAAATGAAAATCAGTGTAATCTGAAAACGAAAATATAAAGTAAAGAAGAGTGAACACATAAATCATGGGGCACATTTTGGGCTGTTTCGGGAGGAAGGGATGTAGAACCCGTATACAATGTCCCACTGAAAAAGGAATCATGACTAATTTTAACAGGAATCACAAAATGAAAACATTTAATACATCATACATACTAGAAAGAAAAAGCATACAAGACAAAGAGATGCCCGTACATAAAAATAAAAACAAAATATTCAAACAGTGAATTATAGATACAGAGAAATGTGACAGCACTTAAAGCAGAGAGACCTACTGTATACAGAGAACAATGGCCATATCAAAACAGATACACACACATAAAAGAAGAACAGACACATAAAATAATGATCTAAATAGGTACTGAAAAGAATAATTTCTTTTTCAAAAAAACCCCAAAGAGTCACATGAACAAATTGAAGCAAACACACAAAATAAAGAGACAAACTATGTTTCTGCTCAGTCAAATGAGCCTTCCGTCAGAGGGGAATAACAACTGCAAATATGTACTTCAACGTTTCCAAAAGTAGGGGAAAACACAAATATAATGTCTGCAATAGGAAACAGCATCTTTACACGATAATATGACAGCTTGATCATTACTGCAGATTAGTAGCCAAATACCAAGGCACAATGTGTGAAAAACATCATGGAAATAAGTAAGAGAACTATTTCAAACAGAAGGTCTTGCATCACTTCCATTACTAGATGCAAAAAGACAAGCCAATATGAAAAACAGTTAAGTCTTGCAACATATTGAAAGAAAATTCATGTATATAGACAACATTTATTCATCATACAAAGTCAGAAATGTGCCTTCATACTGTAAATTGCTGATAACATGATTGATAACATGATTTTTTTACAACAATTAAACTATAACCAAAACTCTTTTTTGGGCAAGTCAATTTCAAACTGCAATTATTTCTTGACCGTATATCAAAAAGTAAGGAATAAGCAAATTTGAACATGGACTCCGACCTACTGGTACCAAGGAAAAACTTTCAACCACAACAAACTAAAGCAAATGTGAAGCCTAGTCTTCTTGATCAGCGTCCTCTCAACAATTATTTGTTCTTCCAAAGTGTAGGATTATTGTGTCATAATGCAGTGAAATCAGGTGCTAGTCAATTTTGGGTCATATGGAGTTAATGGTACCATCTTAAAGCTTGTTTATTTGTCTTCCTTTGGATAAAAAGAAGAAATACCTATTTGCGATTGAAGGAGGTGTGGCAAGGTAAAAATCAGTGAGAAATTGGCAACAAAGGTTTGGCGACTTCCAAGCTTGAGTGCCCTTGGAAACTGCAAAGTTACATTTTTAGTGCCTTTCATCAACATTTTTCTGTATAAAACCCACAAAGAAATGTTTCAAAACTTAAAATTTGATAAAAATTGCCGGGGGGGGGGGGGGCAAAAATAAGGTCAGTATATTTTCATTATTTTGACGAGCATCTGGTTTTACCATGATGCCATACATATTAAACCTATCCTTTTCTACAGGTACACTTGATATCAATTATTCAATGAACATAAGACCCAGCTAACTGGAAAACTAAAGAATGTAGAAACTGAGTGGGGATTAAACACAAAATATGTCATGCTACGATAAAAAAAGCCTAATATGCCGAGAATTTGCTTGTCAACTTTGAGAAATAGACCAGAACACTGAACTGTGACTACTGATAACCCATCATTGATCAAAACACACAAATTTCCCAATTGCAAACAGCACTCAAAGATGCTGAACCCACAAATAGAGTGGAGCTCAAACAAAACAACCCAAAGAACATGAAGTCCAGAACCCAAAGTCATGACTTCAAACCAAAGTCTTCCGTTTTATGGTCCAGCAGGACACTGACTGAGCCAACGGTGCAAACCCACGACAAATTTTTCAGCACAACATTTAGCCACACAGTCAAGTAAACACAGGCAAAGCCCATGAATCATTTTGAGAAAATTCAGATAATGCCAACGATATGAAACTTTGATTTAAGGTTGTTGTAAACGTCCACTGTTTTTTCATCTTCCCTTCACCCAAAAGTGACATTCATTGGAAAGTTTGGAAGAGCAAAAATTAAATATACCAATTTGATACATGTTCCCTTTAAATATATACATATAAATTTCCATCTTGATATTTATTAGCAAGAAAGTAGGCAAAGATTACTGGAGAAAAGGTCAAATTCTCGAGTACTCAAATGACTCAAAAGATCAAAAATCAGGGAAATACTTCTCACACTGCAAAATTTCACACAGATGTGTTTGAAATCCTCAATGTGACACTCTGACTCTAGCCAAAAAGTAACAATTTAGTCACCATATATTAACCTTTTTTTAGTTTTCTTATACAATAGATGAAATTTTTAAATAAATGGGGCCAATATCCGCATTGCGTTCCTATACTTTCACCAACTAGATCTACTGAGATCTAGTTTTTAGTGTTATTAAGAGTTTAACAGCACTTGCAACATAATAAGGTCATATAAGTGCCAAAGATAAAAGGTGTTACAAGAAAGTAAGAAACACAAAAAAAGGAGGAAAGATAAAGATGTTCGATGTTTGATAGGAAAGAAGAAGCAAACTGCACCAGAGCATCTGGCAACCATCCACACCAGCTTCTCATGAAACAAACATTTCTACTAAAACAAAGCCTTTGTCAACGATATAGATTTCTTAATAATCTGGGGAAAATGAATATATGGGTACTTGAAGGAAGAAAAAAAAAGACAAAAAACTGGGAGGGAGAGCTGGACACATGGTCAACAGATGAAAAGTGCAAGAGAGATTTAAAAGCCACTCAGGGAAACAGAGAGTTGAAATCAAAGGGAGAAATTTTTCTGGTCTAAAATCCTCATGAAAATGTTCATTCAACAATACAATGCCCACCTCCAACAATTCTTCTACCACTGAATCCATGTCTTTCCTCATATGAGGATCAGTATATTAAATCTCCAAAAGTCAAACATCAACACAAGAACAAAAGTTCCACTCAAAGCCATGATAATATAGTGTACACAATACCTGTAAGTTGTCTTTTTCTAAATCTGCCTCCCATTTCACTTTAAATAACTGAACGAAGGTTCACCCAAGAATTTGTCTTTTTTTTTTTACCTCGTTAGGAAGAAAATAAATTTAAGCAGAGCTAAATCTCTAGTAAAATTTCATTCACCTATATTACATGGACATTCCTAAATTGCTTGTTTTGTTTTTTTTAGAGGAACAAAAATTACCATTAGTCAACTCAACAAAATCTCAAACTCAAACAGACCACACCTTAATCAAGTAGGCATCTCTAGATCTTTTCATAACCCTCGACATACAACACATCACTACCTTAGAATCACAAAGTTCTATCTAACATTTTCGGCTGTTTATAGATACTAGGACCTTGAGGTCTGAAACCAAGTGTTCTATTTGCTCTACCAAAATTTTAAGATTATTCGACGTCATTATCAAGATATTCAAAGAATTGCATTAGAAAACGCTAGACATGTTGTGAAACTCAACAATTTTGACATTAACTTTCTCAAAACTAGGTACTGAGCATATAGAACTTTGTACTTCCGAGGTATCGACATGGTGCTGTTTCTATGCCAGGATGCTGAGCATGGTGAACAGCCTGCAGCTCTAAAACAGCAAGTTTCTCGCCAACACAGGACCATACACTCTACGGTGTACAGCATGAATTTGAAGATATAGACCTACAGTATTCTTCAATAAAAGCAAGACCGAAACCAAAAAAACCTAACAAATTAGGATTCTTCAATTCGAAAAGCATGCAAATATTTTTAACTCTTTTATGAGAAGGTTGATATATTGTGAAAAATGAAGGAGAAAAACACAGCACTCTTTTGCTCTTTGAGGGCATTCACAGTGAAAACAACAGACATGGGGTCAGGGGACTCTAGTGGTCTAGAGGTATGCTGTTCGCCTCTTATTCAATAGGTCCTGGTATCAAAACCTGAGAGTGAAGGAATTTTTTTTTCTTTCTAAAATATTCTCCTTTCACCTTTCCTGTACTCTAATCATGTTCTGTCACCTGCTTCCCCCCCCCCCCTCTTCTGGGCTCCCGACTCTTTTTGCTGCCTTTATACTGTTTCTCTTTGGCTCCTTTTTATTGCAGTCTTTCAGTCACACCTAGCCTTCTCAGATAACGGCAGAAAAATCTCAAAGATATGTGCAAGTTGAACACATTAAAGATCCCTTGGTGGTCCTAAAGTCGATAAGAGTAGGCTTCGGCTGCCACCTGGGAAAAATTCAAAATTAATTCCTACTAAACCAAAAATGCTCAATGTGTCCCGCGTACTCATATGACCTTAGGCAGTTCCGAGCGCCATAAAACACCAACAAAAACAAACAAACAAACAAAAAAAAAAAGCAATAGACATGGGGCCATCCACGTCTGGAGACAAAAATGGACAATGAACACACTGATGTCTTTGATCAGTTAGATGAGTTAATAAAACTTCTGGTAAAGGTGATAGCAATATCGATGACCAACATTATTATGAAGAACAATTTGTCCTCTATTTTGCACTGAGGCTCCATTATGACTTGACAAGCGGATGTCAGGAATGGGCTAAAAGGGCAGCCAGTTTTGCACCAACATACCACAGTGTAATCATTAAGATGGTTTTTAATTTTAGTAAGAGTATCATGACACCTGCAAAACAAATAGTTATATAAGTGCCGAATATTAAAGATTTTACCTGAGAATAACATACAAATAAAAGAAAGAGGAGAGATAATGGCTATAGATTAACGTTTGATAAGAAAGAAGGAGAAAACCACACCAGTGGTACCTCTTTCTCTTTCTCACACACATACACACACACACAAACACACTCTCTACAAGGGAACGACTATGAAGACTAAAGGCTCAATCTGAGTGGATCCGAGCGTTTCTCGGACGAGATTTCCCATCCGAAAATGGTTCCAAGTCGGAACGAGACCACGCGCTGAGTGGCTTCATTCTCTACCGTTTATCCCCCTCGGTAAGAATTTTGGAGCAATATTTTTAGCTTATGTCATCTACTTGACAGTAGCTAGTAGGTCAGGGTTGGGGCATGCTTGTATGCTAGGCTAGCCAAGATGTAAATCTAGATGATCAAAACAGCGTCTGAGAGTCTTACTTCTTTTGTTATGGACACAATAGCTTTGATATTCCTATATTGGATGTGAAGAAGAAAGCAGAATTGCAGACCCTACTGATTTCAAATCTGTAGTCAAAATTTAAATTTTAGAAAAAAACGGCTTTCTAAAATCCCTCCCGCCTGGAGATTTTGTCGAATCACGGATCAAATCTAAACACTGCACTTAGTTGGTCCCCTGAAAGGACGACACATCGGAAAATTGTGGAAACGAATCGCACGCACTTCGTGCGCTCTAGTTATTTTAATAGTGAATCAATAAAAGTAGTTCCACGGACGATAAACACTCGGATCTACTCGGATTGAGCGTTAAGGAGAAAGGAACTACTGCCTTGAGGGTTTTTTTTACTGTGCCAAATGAACAAAAGATGTGAATCGCACACACACACACACCTGTGCATAAAACAAACATCATATGGTGTTGGACTGTGATACTCAGGGCAGGGAAGCTACTACCTGCTCTTTTACTGTTCTCAGGGGTCTGTATGACTGTCAGTTCAATTATCCCCGAGTTTTGGCTTATCGTGTAAATATCTGCTTTGTGTCCCAACTCACGGCCTGAACAAGAGAGGTAACAATCCATCGAATATTTTTTCAATGCACGAACTGGTTTTCCTTAACCCTTTTGGCCCAAATACAAATACATAATATGGTCGCTTTTAAGGACAAGCGGGATAACCCAGATTTCGGGGGTTTCCAGAAATCTTGAGCTACACCAAAAGTTGGCATTGTCCTACCTATAGGAGAAGTTTGGTGTCATTGGTGTGAATATTTGTTTGGTTATAGAGAAAATTCTCCTTGTCTTTTAAAAAAACTGAACAAGGGTCCCAAAACTTTACCTTCACTTATCTCAAAACAGCATTTTTCAGGATAGCCCCCTTGTGCTTAAAAGCGACCATATACACTCATAATCTGACAAAGAACCCAAAAACAAAAAGACAGTCATAGTGGCTACTGATCACGTTGCTGTTGGAAGAAGAATCAAACTAGTTAGTAAAATAACACCACCAATTTGTCACGGGTGCATGCATTTCAAAAACAGTCAGGCTAAAGCAAGGTAAAGCGAGCAACAAATCGTTACCTCCAAAGTCTCTTCTTGCCCACAGCTTTGAAAAATATACACATCACTCTCAAATTATAGCATAAATTCTGTTAATTACAAAACAAAACAGCAGCAAAATCAACACCATCAAAGCGTCAACCAAAAACTAAATGACAACACTGATCAACTTCCAGCTCACACAAGGTGCTTTTCTGACGAATCAGGCAAACTCAGTTAGTTTGACAACCCGCATGCAGGAAAAAGTGCGTAAAAAACGAGAAGCCTTTTTGCAGCGAACGGTCAAATTCTGGACGATCTGAGAAAAGTTACCCTGATCATAGAGTCGGTTGTAATGGTATGTACCTCGGTCGATCTGCTCCTCTGAGTTGACACTGGTGCTGCCAGCTCTTTGGTTCTCTCTGTTCTCATCATCTTCCACTGATTCCAGGCCTGTAAAAAAAAAAAAAAGAACGAAAGAAAGAAAGAAAGAAAGAAAGAAAGAAAGAAAGAAAGAAAGAAAGAAAGAAAGAAAGAAAGAAAGAAGGGGGAAAAAAAGAAAGATAGAATGAAAAAAATGTTTAGACAACGGACGATTTGGCAATATGGAACAAAATGTTTCCAACTTGAAAATGGCAACCCTTCAAGTGTACTGATGGTACCATGACAAAGGACTCTTTTTCCTTCTGCATCAAATATTTTGCTGCGTTTCTGAAAAAAATATATTTCCAAGATGTCATCACTACTGCATGCATCAAATATTGCACTGCAATTCTGAGAAAAGAATATTTCCTATGTACCATTGCTACAAAATCATCTCTTCGCTTTGTTGTAAGTAAAAGCAAGCATATTTTCAGGTTCTTGTGGTTCACACTTCTCTAACAACTATTTTTGTTTGTTACAGATATCACAAGTGTTGACAAACTGTCAAATCAATGACTGCATGAGACCTTCTAGAGGATAAAACAGTTCAATATTGCCATCCCCCTAGTCTAAACAACTATAGAAATTGAGAAGAAAGGGGAACAATATGCTTATTGAGTTTTAAAAAATTGCAAAACAGGCATGGTTTTTAGAGGGAAAAAAAATTCCATTTTTATAGAGGTCACTAAATTAAGCATCCATGTATGTTAACTTCCCATTCATTCTTCTGTCAATTAAAGTATTCTAAAGTGATAGGCTTTGAAAGAAGAGAATAAATATGAAAAAAAGAGGTATTTAATGTTGAAACAATAAGCAGTTCCACTTTCACCTCAACGCAACTTCAACCTACGAATCAAAAGACCTTCTTCAAAAAAAGTTTGGAATAAATATCATTTCAAGTTAGGGTTATTTTTACTCACCAACTTCTTGGGGAGATGGAATAAGTCCAAAAAATATCATGAAAGAGGCTGCGAATAAAACTGTACTTGTCATCAGGAAAGCATACTGTGAAAAACAAAAAATAAAATTATACAACAAGAACGCATAAATCTACATAATGTTGACTCCATAAGTTATGTATTCCAAGTTTGAAAAGCTTAATGGAATAGAACTTTTGCACACCAGCTTTACTGACAGTGACTGAAACAGTGTCTATGACGAAAGGGTAATATTTTCACATTTCATGCAAAAGACAAGATTTTCATTCCATGAGAAAAAGACATTTTACTGCATACCTCAGGGCTCCCCTTTTCAGACCAACTTAAGAGGTTCCTTCACCCTTTGGCTTTCTGTCTTAAGGGGTATTTAAACCCTGGTTTTAGAAACTTAAAGGGTAAAAGTCAATTATCTCCTAATTTTATAGTAAGAATTTTTGCATGTAAACGTTGAACCCACATGCACATTCACACACAGAGTGACCATTACTATATTTGAATGCTAACGATTTTTTTTATTAACTTAAGGTTTCATTGTAACAGCAAATAATATTGACTACAATTAGCGTTGAGTCCATTTGGAGGGGGGAAGGGTGGTGGTGGTTGGGCCAATCAAAAATAAAATAAAGTTGACAAACCAAAAGGGGTCAATTCCGACTGTATTAATACACAAAGAAAATCAGACAGGTCTGCAAATCTATGAAATCTAAAAGTCAGGATCTCAGTGGGTTAAAAAAAATCGGGATCATAGACAAATCACTAAGGTTACTGCCAAACTGACTTTTAAAAAAGTCCTGGGACGTGTGTGTGTGTGTGTGTGTGTGTGTG